ACCACATTGACCCCCAGGGCACCACCACAATGGAACTCTACGTGGAGTCCACCTAACTCCACCTGGGCTCTCCTCAATGGAAACTCAACTTTGGCTCCACCTAATTCCACCTGGGCACCACCTCAATGGAACTCTACTTGGGGTCCACCTAACTCCACCTGGGCACCACCTCAATGGAACTCAACTTTGGCTCCACCTAATTCCACCTGGGCACCACCTCAATGGAACTCCACGTTGGGTCCAACCGACTCCACCTGGGCTCCTCCTCAATGGAACTCAACTTTGGCTCAACCTAATTCCACCTGGGCACCACCTCAATGGAACTCCACGTTGGGTCCAACCGACTCCACCTGGGCTCCTCCTCAATGGAACTCAACTTTGGCTCAACCTAATTCACCTGGGCACCACCACAATGGAACTCCACTTTGGGTCCACCGACTCGTCTGGGCTCCACCTAACTCCACTTGGGCACCACCACAATGGAACTCCACTTTGGGTCCACCCGACTCCGTCTGGGCTCCACCTAACTCCACTTGGGCTCCACCACAATGGAACTCCACCTGGGCTTTTCCTTACTCCACTTGGGCTCCACCACAATGGAACTCCACCTGGGCTCCACCTAATTCCACCTGGGCACCACCACAATGGAACTCCACCTGGGCTCCACCTAATTCCACCTGGGCACCACCACAATGGAACTCAACTTTAACTCCACCGAATTCCACTTGGGCACCACCACAGTGGAACTCAACTTTGGCTCCTCCCAACTCCACCTGGGCTCCACCACAATGGAACACTACTGTTGCTGGAAATACAACAGAAGTATCAATCAACGCAACAGAGAGTGCACCAACTTCCGTCACTACTGAAAGCATTACTGATACTACCAGTCTACCTTGGTATCAAAGAGTCTGGCAAAAGATTGAAAATATTTTCTGAATATAAATAAAATTTAGCAGTTCTTTGAAAATAAGTGTATCAATTCTTAGCTTAGCGGTTAACAAGAATATTTGTTGAAATAGAAGTAAGTCGATTTTAATATTTTCTGTTCTTTTATTATGAGGAAAGCATTGCAATTCTGGTGTGAATTTTTTTAAGATGGTCTGCTGATATGACTGGTGTATAAATCACCGCTATCTAAAATGAATCAAGAATGCGATAAAAGCGACTTTTAAAAGAAAACTATGAATGAAACCCAGTTTTTAAAGAGGACCATCAGATTATAATGACGCCTAGCTCTTAGTTAAGCCTTTTCAAATTCACTCAGTTCGATAACTTGTATCGTAGTAAAGTTTTATGTATACCAAAATGCTACCAGCATACTTGTATATTCAGCAAAACAAAAAATACAATATGTTGTTACCAATTAATAGTATTCTAGACCAGAAAGTTATAGGGGTATCTATAAATGAAAACGAACGCACCTTATGAGCATGACGGTGGTCTAACTCACCATGTGAAAGAGAGTATGTATATTTAGTTTAGTTTTTGGTAATCTCCCTTTGTCATTGTCACAGATAATTTTAGTAATAATTGAAATATTCTAAATTTCAAATAAGGGGAAAGTTTCAAACCGGCCGCAAAAGGAAAATTACTAAAATACTTAATTTCATCGTTTCAACATTTTTATTTATAAAGCAATGCAAATTACCACATTTCCATTAATTTCACACGGATAATGACTTAATCATAATTATGTGGACTTAAATCGATTAGCAAGTCTAGCGTCGAACACTGATCTACTACGTCTCTCCAATGAGCTCTTTTCGCACTCTTTAATATATTTTTCTCAAAAGTTTTATCAAATAGTTCTACAAAATTAACAGCATGATCTATATCTAATTTACATTTTTGGATCTAACTTTTGTTGAAATAGTAAAATACTGATCTACTAGTTATTCTGGATAACTTTCTGAAATGGTAGGTCTGTTTCATTTTTCAACTAAAATGTGCGAGAATACTGATCAGTCGGATCGCTAGCTGGATGTGAAATAAGATGGAAACTTAAGAATCATTATGTTACACATACTTGTATAATGGATATTATACCGCTCCAAAATAACTTTATTACAAGGTACAATTCAAAAGTTCCAGGACTTTTAAACAACGCGGCTTCTAGTGGCGCCATCTGTCTGAAATTGTTATCCCTCAATTGTGTATTCTTCAGTGTTGTCGTATAAAATTTATTAAAAGGCTGACTTGTATAACAGCTGAGATATCGCGCTACATGTGACATTACATTTGTAGTGTCGGTCAGAAAAGAGCATCGAACAAAACCAACGTTAAATTTTGTTAAACTTTTACCAAAACTCATCAAATGATGAAACAAGTTTATAGCGATAATTTCCTTGCCCATAGCAGAGTGCACGAGTGGTTAAACGTTTTCAAAGTGGTCGTGAGGACATAAATAATGGAAATGAGTCGAAACCCAGAAAATCGTGCCTGGAGAAGTCAAAGTAAGACAATGCTGATTTGTTTTTATGATTCCAAGGGTATTGTCCACAAAGAATTTGTTCCACCCGGCCAAACGTTAATGCGGTATTCTACCTTGAGTTTTGAAGCGTTTGGTAGCACGTATTCGTCGCATTTGGCCCGAATAACGCGAAGATGAAAGTTGGCGTTTGTTGCTCGATAATGCGCCGTCTTATCGATCACGCATGTGGCCGATTATTTGACCAAAAATCAAATTTTAACAATCAACCACTCCCCGTATTCACCTGATATGGCACCGTACAACTTCTACCCTTTCGGAAAACTACATTGGCCATGTAAAGGAAATCGCTATGCTGACGTTGATGCCATCCAAAAGGCGACGACCGCCATCCTTAACGCTATACCAACAAATGATCGAAAAAGTCATTCGATAACCTTCTTGAACGTGCAAAACGTTTTATTCAGGCGGAAGAGACTATTTTGAAGGCGACCAATAAATTTTCAAAAAAAAAACAAACCCAAGTAAATATATTTTCATTCACTCTTTTGCATTGTCTTTGCTGTCTAACTGAGTTCTTATCATTTGTGGAGCTCTTCCAAAACAGTATTGTGATAAACAAATTGTCTTTTTGCCTTTGCATGAAAGTACTGAGATTTTCTCGTGTGATTAGATAATAGGCCGAAGTTTTCAAGTGTGTATTTGCTGGTGCTGAGCTGGCTAAGGAAAGCTCTACATTAGGGAAAGTAACATTTTCAACTGTTTGTTCATAAGCCGTTTATCTGTGAATTGCCCTATCATTTGCCTATCGAGAATCTAATTATATGTGTTTTGGTTTTACTCAATTTTTTCTTTTTACAAAACAAAATAAACAATACCAAACGTTAACTTCGGTTGCACCGAAGCTACACACACACAAATACAAAAGTTCCTTATAAGAACTTGATTCCGATCTAATTTCGTGAAGATATCTCGTCAAATAAAAAAGTTTTCTACACAAGAACTTTATTCAGATCGTTCAGTTAATGCTATAGTCATCCGATCTAAACGATTTCTTCGGAGATTAAACCTGCCTTAAAAACTAACTCATGCTAAATTTCGTAAAAATATTACGTCAAATAAAGAAGTTTTCCCTACAAGCAGTTGATTCCGATTTTTCTGTTGGTATGGCAACTATATGCTATAGTGGTCCGCCATCGAACGTTTCGACAAATGAGCACTATCTTAGTGAGGAAAGGACAGTTGCAAAATTTCAGAACGATCACTTAAAAACTGAGGGACTTGTATATGTACAGGCAGAAGGACGGACGGACGGACAGACGGACATGGCTAGATCAACTCAGCTCATCAAGCTGATCATTTATCTATATATTTTATAGGGTCGCCGACGTTTCCTTCTGGGTGTTACAAACTTCGTGGACTTAATATACCCTGTTCAGGGTACAATGATTTAAATTATTGGTGTTTATAATTCAACAAAATCAATGGAAAACTATACTTTTTTTGAAAATGATAGGTTTTATGTAGTTATAAAGCATCGGATCAAATTTTACCCGGTTTTTTTTTACCCGGAATTTGACCCCTATTTGTATTTAAACACCAGAATATGTAGTATTTCTTGTCAGTCGGGGCCAAATGTGACCACATTATATATCAAAACGATCTCAATAATATAATATTAAAAAACAGCTGAATTAAAGCGGCTTCAATAAATTCGTACTATCACGAAGTGTTCGCCGAAATATGCGCTTTTCGTATCTTTGGATCTGGGATGTCATGTGTCACTTGAAAAATGCATAAAATACTAAAAACCACTAACCGAAACTTCGAACTGTGTTTGCCTTCCGTTAAGATTGTATTGTCAACTCTATGGAGCAATGATATCGTAATATAAATATGATGTGATTGTACCCTGTGTGTCTTTTGAATTTACATCTTTTAGCTCCTAATACTCGTAAAAGGTCTAGCAAAAACAAATCCATAATTTTCCCAATATATCGATTTAGTATTCTCTATTTCGCGTTGTCTAAGTTCGATAGCGTTACGTTATATGGCGTTAGAAGAGTAAGATCAAGTATTTCAGAAAGTTTTGTGATTGATTACCTTAGTATTGTTTGAGCACACATCATAGATGGGTGGGCGGCTGAATATGAGAAAAGTGTTTATGTTTCTGATACTGCAACGGCCAATCAAACGCAATTTTGGTATCGTCGATTCCGTTACGGTAATTTTAATGGCAAAAGTACAACATGATCTGGAAGGGCAATAGGCAAAGACATCGATAAAAAATGGCAATCGCCGAGTCAGACGAATAAAAGACAAAATTAAAAGAGGGCCACTTTAGTCGCAGTGAGCCAGCACAAATGGTGACCAATCCAGGAATGACGTAAAACTCTTGATACGGACTTGTGCTGCTAACGATTGGGTCACTGTTCCAGTTTATATCATCTTAATTTGCTGGGGGAAAATTTGACTCAAGGGAAGCTTGTCAATATAAGCAAGGATACCTAGTGGTTATATGAAAATATCTTCAAAAGCACAACAGGCTATCAAACAATACGGTGCATATTTGATCTAAATCGGATCATTCTAACTGTACTAAATTCTTCAATTTATTACCAAACTAATGGAGTTTGTTGTACTAGTTTTTCGAATATAAAGAGAAGTAATGAAATGGTAATGCACGTTTTATTACGGAAATATAGTACATTTTTTAACACATATGCTTTTAAACAATTGCATATCATGGATTTATTGAAGAGGCCTCCGTAGTCTCATCAGAAGAATCAGAGGTTTCAGTATACTCTGCTTCGGTGCTCAGTGAAGAGGTCGGAGAGTCTGACGAAGATTGCGGTTCCGGTGATGTTACTTCCGGGTTTCCCAATAAGCAGACTTTCAATTTCCCAAATTCGATAGCTAAACGACTGGTTAGCTTTTCTAAGCAGAATAATATGTTTCGCCTGTCAACTAAGATATGATTATGGTTTAGAGGCTTAACTACTCGGACCGTATCATAGATCTGAAAATGGTTAATACACATTATTGAAAAATGTTGTTGTTATAAATTATAAGATTATATATAAAGCTATCATTATTTTGCACACACCTCCGACACGTAACAATCATATTTTGCATTGTGTGTGCCATGTGCGGCACAGTAGTTTATATTGATAACGAATTTTTCTTCCAACTGAACAAAGTTGCCATTATTTGCCAGAGCGGCGGTTTCGTGAATTTCCAATGCATGGCGAATGTCTGCCGCAGTATCGGCAATGTCCCACCGAACAGAACTAGTGAACGCGTTAATGCAGCCGTCACCACTGGGAGTCACCGAAAATCCACTGGGATTAAAAGTTGCTTCAAAGAGGTCAGCGGCAATCGCTGGAATATATCTATTGGCGGAGACCTATAAATAAAGTTGTATTTGTTATTTGAACTCATTCTTCATGGTTTCACTTACAATCCTGTTTTGGAGCACGAGGAGTACTGCCGCCAAGGCCAAAACAGCTTTCATGTTGATTCCTCTAAGTATCACTGGGAGTGTTCAAATGAAGCTTCGGGCTTTTAAATGTTTTTCTCAATGCATTTTACAATTTTTACGATTTCATATAAATCTAATTATAAATATAAATATTAATAAAATTTGCCATGTAAATGTTTGCCTTGCATTAACTATGTTTGTTAAGATAATATGGTTTATAATTTGCTTATGTAAAGCCCATTTTTATATTTAACCATTTATTATATTGGCTTTAGAGACCATTTGTCGCTTGATAAAGCAGATGAAGCTTTCAAACTTTGCATATAGCTCCATTAAACATTTCTCGTCATCAGAAGCAGCCCGTGAGGACCAACTATGTTTTGGAACCATAATTGAAAGCGAGGTGTAAACCTTTGATTAAGAGTTGAGAAATGCGATTTAAAACAAAAGCATTCCTGTATATAATACTTATACATATATTATATTATGTATATGTTATAACAGAGTTTTTTTTTTTAGCAATAATTAGGGAATTTCTGATGTTTGCAAAAAAAAAAAAAAAATACTAATAATCATCAGAAAGCTTCCTATGGTTCTTACAAAGAAGATATCACACTCCATTCGAAAAAATTTCGACGCATCTTAAGTAGAAGATTCCTCTCTAGGGATATATGTTCCCAGGTGAAACATTTTCAAGCAGTCTCTGGAAATTCCTACAATTACACTAAGCTGTAAGCATTATACAACTTTTTATGTTTTTATTAGGATTTATTATACATTACATCAAAACAAATACAGTTTCTGGAAAGCTGTACAAATATGTTCACATGAGTAACGTAATATTTATACGCTGAACAGGGTATATCGAGTTGGAAGCGAAGTTTGTAACACCTAGAAGGAAACTTTAGAGACCCTATAAAGTATATGGTATACACAAATAAATGATCAGCATGACGAGCTGAGTCGATTTAGCCATGTCCGTTTGTCTGCCTGTATTTATACGAGCTAGTCCTTCAGTTTTTGAGAAGCTGCTCATTTGTCTGATATCTGACCACAATAGCGTATAGCTGCCTTATAAACTGAGCAATCTCTATGGCGTCATCCTTTATATTTATTGAGAAGTCTAATTACCTGTTCTAGGCCCTAATTATAAAAAAATATTTGCAATGATTCTTCTGTAAATTTCAATTGTGACGCTGACTTACCTTATCTGTGTTTCGTGTGTGTAAAATAATTTAAGCGCAATAAAAATTATACATATATCTCTATACATATTATATATAAAGAAGGATGTGTGTATTATGAAATCTATAGACTCAGAAACTATTTGACCGATCATTAGGAAAATTAGTACGTATATGTATTTTTTCAAGGAGAAGGTTTTTATGCTATCCCCATTGAAATAACTCGCCAACCGCTGTAATGTACCGACTACTGTATCGTTTAACCGATTGTTACGAAAATTAGTATGTACATGTGCTTTTTCATGGAGAAAACGATTATGATATACCAATTAATATTATATTTATTAATTATATTGAATGATCTTGAAGTATAAACAACATGACCATGTAATTTAACTAAAATCATCGCGAAGAGTGAGCCATTACTAACAGATGAACGACATACTATTTACAATCGGATTAAGCTAATTGCCATATAATTTCAGCACTATTGTACACGAAAAAAATTATTAATTGGCAGTATTTTTTCCGGACAAACAAAATAATTACTTAAATCAAAACTGACTCAAATAGTATTGAGATTATAATATTGACAGCAAAAAATGTCGAAATTAATTTCGATAATAATATTTTTAATATATTAAACAGCTTACTCAAATACAATTTTATTATACCTTAGTCATAGCAGCGCGTGACGGGGTCTCTAGTTATTTATAAATAAAAATAATAATTAAATTGTAGAGGCTCATAAGAACTGCCAATATGAAACGGACTAATGTTAATTTTCACCGGTTATGTGACACGCTTACCCGGGCGTGGCTGGCAAATGTTTCAATTTAGTTGTTGTAATAACTGAAGAAAGGAAATATATCGAAAATCATGTATTGCCTAATACCCATCAGTCAAGAATTACGCTGAAGAAAACTATACAGAAAATATATTTATTTTCAGGGTTGCTTAGTTTCTAATGGCGAAATTGCATCCAAAATAAAAAATTTAATTTTTAATCTCAAAATCAGAACTAAAATTTGATGTTTTATATTGTAAAATGAATGTGAAATTCTGCCGTCTACTGCTCTAGAGTATTGAGTATGAGGGCTCTGTGCGAGCCTAAGTTCAGAAAAGTATAACAAAAAGTACGCAAACGCAAACATATGTAAACGCAAAAACTTTTTTTTTTTTAATTTTTAATCATAAAACATACAATTAGTATTTTTTTTATTTTATAAGAAAATCGAAAAATGTTTATATATGAATAAGTGCAGATTTTTGCGATTAAAAAAAAAAAAAAAAATTAATGTGTTAATTCAATTACATTTTAAATGCATTATTTGCAACCTATTATTATTAGATCCCGTCGACTTTAGTACACAATGCACGCAGGATGCAAAGGAAATGCCAAAAAACGACGAATCTACAAAAACTTATGGTTTTATAAAACCACTCTAAAATTCAAAACATTCTTGAAAACAAGCATAAATTCAAAATTCTAATAAAAAATTCTTCGAAGTGATATCATTTAAGGTCAAGCATTTATTTAGACCGTATGCCTGGTTCGAAAATCCAGCTCTGTCTCTCTGTTACATATTTGCTCTCTTTTATGTCTGATATAAAAATATCTATCAATAATTTAGCCTTGAGGAAACGAGAGGTATTGTTAATCTAGAGAGCCATTCTTCTTTTATTTCCAAATTTTTTTATTTACAATTGTTTGTGCAAACTTTTGTTGGAACCGATTTATTATCGGTATCATGGGAAGTAAGTTCTAAGTAAGTAAATATAGTAATTGTGTTGATAAGACCTGCTGTCTATTTATGCGTCACTTATCAAGAAGTGAGTCACTATCTGTTATCACTATTATAACTCGTGAAATATCAAAACAAAGAAATGTATGTAAAGAAATATCAAATCAAAGAGAGTAAAAATCAAGCGCATGCAAGATTTTATATCTACAACTACATGCTAATAAAGATAAAAATTGTTTTTGCCAGTATCAGCTGTTTGATAAAGCTACTTAGCATTTTGGTAATTCGAGTGAGTGTGCGAGTAACGATTTGATAGTGCATCTGAACTAAAGTGTTGTTCGCCATTTTCATTCAGGCTTGTGGATAAAATTACAGAACTTCACCGTCACACTTTCAAGAAAAATCAGATATTTTGCATAAAACTTTTATTCATTCATAGTCATCATTCCAGTGCACAACTTAATTGAGCAACTCAACTGATGAGCTAGCCATGCGCTGACTGGAGATATTGCTCAAGCATAGCTGATAGTCATTAGCGGCCAGCGTAAGATTGGTCTTTCCACCGCTGATGGCTGCGCTGACACATGCACGACGCACAACAAACACCAGTGACTGATTGGCTGCCATCTGTGCCTCCACTTGGTAGGCTCGGGAGTTCGCCTTGTCCAGCAGTTGAATGTTCTCATCGAACTGTGTGTTGGAAAATAAAAAAAAAAACATAGAAATTAACTGGAACATTTTGAGTGCTGCATATTTGTATTTTGTCTTACCGTGGCTGCAGTACAGTTAAGGAGTTTGCTGGTGTCCGCTATTGCTGAGCAATTGGCCAAGTGTTGCTGCACCTTTTGGAAAATTTTCCGTATATTAGCTATGGTTGCGTTTACGGTCTGATTGTTGGCCACCAGCGTACGATTGGCCTTCTCGAAACAGACATTAGTTTGAGTCGTCAGCAAATTGTTAATTCTTTGTGTGCGATTGTTATATGTAGTGGCACATGTCGACTCGGCTGGCGTCAAAGCGCGCGTATCGATCAAGGCCGAACGCATCTGTGCCACAAGTAAATTTATGACACCATTATGATTATTATCAGCTGCTTGTGGTTCGTTGTAATTGGGTATGGCGTAAGTCTGAAATTGATGTGGGATGTGGCAGGTATTTTTACTAAATTTTTAAGGATTGTAAAAGCTAATTTATAATATGAAACTACACTCGTTGTCGCTTTATATTATATAACAGGCTGTTCTGAAACCACCAGGGGAATAGTATAGTAGTCAAATAGAAAATAAACTGAAGTAAGAGTACTAATAAGGGTACCATATAATATATAACTGTAAAAGTAGACAAATAGATGGATATCGAGGTTTGCTTGTAATATATTTTTTGTCGGGTCTCTTGAGGCTGAAGTGGCTTTATACATGTTTTTCGATTGTAACACACAATTTATTACGACTCGAAAGAATAAGTATGATTTTTCGTTTTTATAATGATTTGTAAAATGAATGCATTTAATCGAGGCTTTAAATTAATTTTATAGTTATATACCTACATATGTTAGTGAATTCAATACGCCTTTTCATCAAGAAATCGCATCTGCCTATTTCTTTCATCTCTCTCTTCTAAAATCTTTTTCTCTGAATGTAGTTTCTGTGGCAATTTTTTACGTATGCCTTCTCAATATTGTGTGTTATCTATAAGGAAAGCACAATTGTCGCTATTAATGAAAGCTTCACAAAAGTTTACAGAAATATTTCACAGTTTAAGAAAGATAATCTAACATACTGCTCGCTAAGTTTGAAATTAGAATACAGAAGGTGTGTTTTGTGGTTATTATTGTTTAAGTTCATATTATTTCTAAAGCCGTCTTAAATCTTAGGTAGCTAGCCTCGAGCGATCAAATTAAATGCTAATAAAAATATTTTTAAAATTTTGACTTCTAGTGTTTCGTTCTTACGCTCAAAAAGCACACTGCCATTAACACTGTAGAACTGATTAGTTGCATTTTGTAGCAAATAATATTCTAAAACTGTAAATAAACTAAAGAACACGCTACGAAATTCTCACTGCTTTTAACACTTCACTTTTCTTTGAACTGGTTTTCACAGCTCCCTTAGTATTTATAGCAGTATTTTTGAAAAATGAAAACAAACGACAGTTATTGAACGGAAATTATCTGAAAACTGCTGATTGCCTATGTCAGACGATCAGATATAATAAACAACAACACTAATATTAAATTGTTTCCAGATATATCTGGCATATATGTAAATTTGGTAGCAAGTGTCACTATTTCAAATACGAAAACCTTCAAAATTGTTATCGATTTGACCGAAATCTTGATAAATATACAGGGAATTACCACAAGAATGGGAAATTAGTGTGTAAGATGATAGATATTACGTATGTGAAGTATTATTTTTTAAGATATATCTCTTGTATGTATGGCACAATGTATTTCTATAATTATTTCTGCCATGGTTTTTGTAAGTATCTGTTACTCCCTTATCACTGTTTACATTTTTATCTGCTACTCCTAGTTTTCACACAATTCGGCCTTATTTTTTTATTAGGCTGCTACATGTCAATACAGCATTTAGAAAAAGGGGACACTGTGTTTACAAAAAAAATTTTTTGGATCACATTTTATAAATTATCCATGATGGCTTTGAGGTTAAAAAAATCCAAATCAGCTGTCAGTTGAGCTACCAAAATGGCTCTTACAGCAAAAATATGTATTTGACAGCTACATTGAGATTGGCATTGAAATTAATCTCAAAGATCGGGGCATTTTAATACAAAACCTTGTGCTTTGTCCGTTGAGTTTAACATACAGAGCACTTGGAAGAGATCAGCGATATTTTTAGAGTAAAGATATTCCTAGAGGGATAGCTGTCGAAACATCTGTCAAAACGCCTGTCAAAGCAATCATATATATTTGATATTTCACTCAAATTGGCGTGGAAGTTACCGTTCAAAATTGCAAAAAAGCAAAGATCACAGGTGAGACATATTTTTGGCTTAACGCAGACAAAAGTAAGCAAATGTTGACTTAGTACAACCGAGAAGCGACTCTGCAGAATCGACAGCATGAACTTTCTAAGATGCAGACGCGATTCTCAAATGACCAAACCTTAGTTTAAAAACCCATGTATTTCATAGCATTTATAAACAAACAAAATCTGCATAACATTGTAATTTATTTTCCTTGTCTGTAGATTCTTGTCTACAGTCTATTCCACTTTTTGTTGTTTTTATTTAGTAATTGTTTTCACCTATTGCACTAAGCATGTCTAGGTTTTAGCATTATTCCCAATGAAGCCCACATGTGGCTTGTATTCGTTTTATTTTTGGCGCGAGTAGCAACTAAGTGGTAGTTAACATGTTTCCATGAGTAACAGTCTGGCTTCTGTGCCACTTGATTGCACCTGTCGTTGTTTATAATCTACGTCTGTATACAGAAATTTAAAAATACATTTTGTCTACACTTGCAACATTTTGCAGAAGAGTATGATATGCTTCTTCTACTGTTGTCCTTATAATATATTTTTATCGACTTAAATATATTGTTATATATGTCAAGGATAAGACGTCGATTTCTCTGTTCTTTCTAGTCTGTGGAAACAGACTATCACCATGCTCAAACAACAAAACTGCAATATGTTATATTTACATTTTTTTGTGATAAGCTAATTTAATTTCTTTGTTATTTTAACCAAAAATATTTTTGATTTAATTTGAAGATAATAAGTAGTAAACAGTAAAAACTATTAACTATAAATCTATTGAGCTTCATTTTAGTGCTGACGCACCCGCCACTTTGTTCTCTAATTTATATGGAGATTCAACTGATAAGCTGCAGTTGTCTTTTTTCTCCGGCATGCTTTATTGTATTTATCGAATTATTCACACTTACAACTGATAAGGTGGCAGGTGTGCGAGTAACACTCAGCGATAAGATAATATGTGTGGGCAATACTTTCTTACATATAAACTTTATAAGTATATAAATCTTCACTTTTGCATTTATTGATATGAATTTGGTATTACAAGGCAGTTTTGACTTTAGAAACGTAAACAAAAAAAAAGAAAAACAATTTATTTAAATAAAGGATTTTTTATAGATCTCTGTTCTTGGAAAACAGTCTGTTTTCATCTGTTTCCGATAAGATTGGTGAAATAATCAAGTGCTTCTATGGTTTGCGCTTTTTAAAGTTCGATCCTTGGTACCAAAGTTGATGTGGTCTGCCTCGTTGTCTTTAGTGCTTAGAGTTTGCTTAGGCAGGCAGGTGAACTTGTGGTTATTGCTTTTCTTATTCCTTTCTTCTTTTTTTTGTGATATTTATATTACGATTAAGACCTAAAATCGATCTTAAGTTGCACGCGGTTTTAAGATCTTTAAATCCGCTACAAGTTTGAATGAGAAATCACAGTAAATGAAAATAAGCAAACAAATTTCATCATATTAATAACAGATTTTTTGTTATCCAGATAGCTACTAATGCACAAATATTATATATTATTAGATTTAATACTTTATAGCCACTTATAAATTAAAAAAATAGCGATTTTTTTGCTTATATATCGAATAACATATATTTGATTTAATTTTTCCGAAAATAATATTTTGATCCGGAAAATAGTTTCGAACATCTCAGAGCGTTTGAAACCGTTTGCCAAACATTTAACGCGTTTTTCGGTGAGGAAAATTGCTCCGAAACTGTTAGACCGTTCCACTTGAAATTTTCACACGACTTTCTTTTGACTCTAAAGTGCCATACTGCCAAAGATCCAAAATTTACGTATTCATGGCTCATTACCGGTATTCAAGTAATGTAATATTGTTTTTTTGGTTTTTGGGTTTGGGATTAATTAAAGAGAAAAATCTTTTTCATCACCAGACATCTATTTTTCGGAGATCCTCCCATAGAGCAATTAGGTGATCATTTTCAAAATTAATGACCGTTTATTAAAGTACATTTAAATTCGTAAATGTGACTTATTTCTATTACATATATAAAATGCATCTTCAAACAAAATTCGCACAAAATGCGTTTTATCTGACTTGTAAGTGGATCAAATCTCTATATTTTTTTCCCATGGGTATAAGATGTAATTTATTCACACATTTCAAAAGTCAACCTAAGAGCCTGTTAACCGGGAGGAATGCTTACATGAGTATTATTAGGGAAGTCAATATGTTGAGCAGGAAGCAGACAGCTCCCAATATAATGCTGCTAAATTTCGCTTTCCACATGCCATAAACGCGCACAATATTTGTATTTATTATTCAAAAACACCCTGCTTGAGCTCTTCAAATTAAAGCTTCTTATATAAGACGTTGTATAAGTATATTTTTAAACCATAATGGTATATTCATATAACTGCATATGTATATGTTTATACATACATATGTGCACTTAAGCTTTAAATAAGTACCCGCAGGCATTCGAATTCTTATTGACTTTGACACTGTCAGCAAGTTCAAGGTGCCAAAGGGTTGTCAGCGATTAAAATTAAGCCTTTTGTTGCATTTTAATGTATGTGCGCGAGTATATATAATATATTAGCCTGCATTGAAAAGAAGGACTTCAGCTTGTACATATGTAGGTTTATATGTATAAAATATTTAAGAATATACTCCAGCAGCTAATATGTTTCAAGAGTGAAATGCCGTAAAGAGAGGCATATTTGCAAGGGTTGCTGTAAAAATACTTGCTTTTGGTGGTTTGTTGGACGAAAAGGCTGGTTTAATGAGTTTACTCGCAAGTTATAAGTTCAATCTTCGACGAGTGTGTGGCGAAACAATTGTATGTACAGGAAAGTATTGTCAGTGGATTTTGGTTTATTGATTGCTCTGCTTGAGGATATTAATCCAAATAGACATATTTGGTAATAGGAAGTCGACTCATAGGATAAGTCTTTGGATCAGTTTTGCTTGCTGTGTAAACATTTTAAAAATCATTATTTTACGCATACAAGACCTGTGTATATTTGAATGCTCAAAACTGAACCATGAAGAAAGTGAACCAAGAAAAATTTGAGCTCTTGTAAAATATTGACGAAAATATTCGCGCATTTGAATGAAATTATTTTTTTATGTGATTACAGAGGTGCTTGTGCAACATGCGGCGAATATTTCTGAGTGGGGTCATAGCGGTTTAGATATTTTCGCAAAATGAACAAAAATCGGCGAAGAATTTTTATTTGTCGCTAATAAAATGATCAGTGTTCGAACAAATATCGAATTGAAGAACGATCTCTTATATAAGCATTGAATTAGTCTTCTTTGTGTTCCGCCACATCAAGAACAGTCGACATAGTCAGTGATTTTCATTGGTTAAAGTAGAGGTTGTTATATTTTCGAAGTTTTTTATGAGTTTTCTCTTAGCAGACCAGTGCAAAAGAATTTGAAAATGGTAAAAAGTGAAAGAAATTCATAGCAGGTTAAAGAACATTGGAAACGATGAATAAAACATCAAAACTGAAAGGGAAAACAAGAAAAAACATTAGTTATTTAGAGTACGAGTTCAACATTTAAGATCTCTGTCTAAAAAAAAGGTCAAATATATACAGATGGACAGACAGGCGGACGGACAGATGCACAGACACGCGGATATAATAGTTTACGGGCGATCTGATAACAGGAAGAGGAAGAGGCGGGGCGCGGTTGAATTTTAAGAGATAAAAACGGATTATTTCGATTTCCGTCAAAACCACGAGTCGTATATAAAAATGTTATAGTTTTAATCAAAGTAAATTTTTGTAGCAACTCCATTTTCACATAACCTCAAAATTTATATAAAAAGAATTTGGTGTAAACTAACCTGATTATGTCCCAAACACACAATATTTCTTAATTTTAAATATTAAAGACGAAACCATATTTCAACTTAAAATTAAAAAAGGTCTTAATATTCAATCAAATATTCTCAAGTCAAAATATGCATTTTTTTTAAAAGGCAGTAAGCCTTATATTTGTTGAAAGCTCTATTAATGGTATAAAAAGTGAATATATTACTATGGTAAATTTTTGAGATGCGAAAAAAGACCCATTACTATAACCATGACCGGCCAGGATTTTTAACATAC